TTATTTATATAGTGAATAAGACGGTTTCTGCTCTGATGGAGTTAATTTATATTTAGAGAGACTCATAAACTCTTCTTATATCTTTTAGGACTTTATTGAAATGTTTTCTTCTCAAGTGAGATCTCCTATTACTACCCCCAAACTCTCTATCACCTCCCCCAATATATTTTTCTTCTTAGTCTTTAAAACTGCAATTTAATATGCGCTTGACTTGTTTTCCATCTTACTACAATATAAACTTCTTGAGCATAGAGATATTTATTTACTTGCTATATTTGTTGACTGCTGTATTCCTAGCTTCTAGAACATAGCCTGGCATAAAATTATGTGATCAGTAAATATATATTAAATGAATGAATTAATGACTGTGTTGCTTTCATGAAGAAAGAAAAATAATTTTTAGATCTACCTGTGAGAATTATACTTTTTAAGTTAAAAATCCCTTAAAAATGTGCATCCCAATTCTTAAAATAAAATTGGCCAGAATTCTGAGAGAAATGTAAAATTTTCTACCTTTTTGTGTTATGCCCATTTTCATAGCTCAGCAATAGTGGGTCATAGATTCAAATATACCAGTTGAACACAGGATCTTATTATGTGATATTGTGCAGACTTTAAATGTCCCCAATATTTTACCTATGGTGTGAAGGGAGAACAACCTACATGTGACTCTGAGAGGAGACTTCCTGTGCAGGGGTTAGCTGGAGCATCACAGAGCAATTAGATTCTCCTTTCTCTATTCATATTGCCTCTTTGCTAACTTGTTGGCTAGTGAGACAGACTTCTTGCCCAGGATCTGAAACACCAAAAACCATGAGGCATAAACCACACAGAGGTGAGATGTTCTCAAGGTAAATGGCTATAAGTACAATTTATTTATTTATTTATTTATTTATTTTTTTCAGACACAAAGGTTTATTATAGCAAATAGAAGTTCATGCAACTGTTAGAATATGTGAGGGAACAAATGTCGGGAAAATTTCCATCAAAGATCTCAGCCTAAAATATCAAAGCGCGTGGTCCTTAATTTGCCTGGAAGCTGCTGTAATACTCTGGAATCTCTGGGAAACTCCCACCAATTCTCTCAGTTTGCATTAGTGAAGTGAGTGGTTTGCAGAAACTTGCCAGGAAGCTTCTGTGAATCTCCGATCTGTCCATGCAGCTGGCTGCACCTGCCTAGAGGAATCTGGATTCTCTTCTTCTGCTGTCAAAATCTTATGCCAGCACCTCTCATTGGAAAACTCTAACCTGGAACCAAATAGGGATGGGAATTCTGTGAAATGTGGACCCTGACTCCTCTTATGAGTCACAAAAGAGATCTTGGAAGGGGGCAATGGCAATGCCACATTGACCACAGGTCAATTCTGGCTCCTGGATCTACTGGTTTCTATCTCGGCTTCAGATACCTGCTCTGAAGTCTCCTCTTTGCTTTGATGATCTAATCAGATGCTCTCTCTGGTTTCCTGAGGAAACTGTTCAACACTTCCCCAACTCGTACAGAAGGGAGGTTCTCTGGACATGAAAAGCACTGTAGTGAAGTCGAGCTATGGGAAATTGTAAGCTTGGAATGAGAGTCTTCAAGACTGGAAAAAATTATAAGTACAATTTAATAATTTATTCTACCCTCTTGGGAATTAAGTTTCATCATATCTAGTTTGTAGTAAATACAGTTTGCTATAAAACATACATTGTGAGCAGTGATTAAGTTGGAGAGGTGTTTGGGATTTTTTCTTTGCAATTTAATACAATTTGGTCTATGAGATTACATGCACACACCCACACATACAAGAGACAAGTGGTGCCAAGGAAACTTTTGGAATAAGCCTCCATATTTTTATCATTAACATTTCTGCCATTCAATTTCATAAATATCCACATGTCCATGACAAAATAAGCTTTACAGGCAAAATTATATTTTCTATTTGGTTCACTAATATGTCACTACCGCTTAGGTATATGGCACATGACAGATGCTCAAGAAATACTTTTTAATGAATTATTGATTTATTCATTAATTCCTTAAATAAATGCTTATTGAATGGAACCATGTGTTAAGCATTGTGATAGATATGAGTATTGCACAGATAAAAGAGAGAAATTCTGTCCTTAAGAATCTTATAGTCCAGTGAGAGAGATTGCAAGTATACAGGTTTGGACAAATGCCACATAGGAGTAAAAATGGGGCAATTAGAGATCAAAGAAAGGCAACGTTTGAGGCTTGAGTCAGGAGTAAGAGTGAACTAAGCAGAGTAATCTTAATTGGGATAACTCTGATGGCGATGGAGATGGAAGTGTGTTCCAGGTGAAGGGAACAGCATAGACATGGAGGCATGATGGAGCAGTGGCCAGCAGAGGTATGAATGGACTAAAGAAACTAAAGGCAAGTAGGTCAGGTTGTTTCAAATAATCCAGGAGAGAAATCAGTGTTCAAAATACAGCTGTGACAATGGGAATAGAAATGAAAGGACTTAGTAGAGAGACATAAGGAGGTAGAATCATCAAAATTTGGTGAATTGTAGAATGAGTGGAGTAAGGAGAGATGAAAGTCAAGGATACTTCCTAGGCTTTTGACTTGAGAAACTTAGTACATTACGGTGCCACTCAACAGGACATGAAATGCAGGTAGAGGGTTATGATGGCAGAAGGGCAGCAAGATAAGGAGTTTAGCTTTGGACGGTGAGTTTTCAACACCTGTGGAAATGCCTGGTGAGGCATCAGATAGATGAGTCTGCTGACTAGGAAAGTGACCCTGTGGGATGTGTAAACTTGGGAGTCAATGGAACATAAGTAGCAGATGAAGTCATGGCAGTTGATGAGATCATTCATTGAGATGATGCAGATTAGTAAGAGAGAAAGGTCCAAAGGCAGATACTAGATAAAAATCATTTGAAGACTGCACACACACACAAACAACTAGGAAGTGACATGAAGAAAACTATGAGTGTTATCAAGCAATGTAAGGGAGAAATATACTTCTCTCTCTCCACTCAGATACAGGATTTTCTGGCTTTATGAACTGAGTTGTGGCCTGTCTCCCACCTTTACTCCGTGCTCCTTTTGTATTTTGTTTTCTTTAGAATTTGTGTAATATTAGGACAATCTGTCCTTTCAGCTTTTGGTACGACATGCTTTTAAAAGAGTACGGAGCTATTGGATTCTTTTTTGTGTGAGAATATTTAGATTCATCTTCAGTAATGGTATAGGCAAGGATGATATTCAAAATAGTAACAACCTGTACGGCACAGGCCCAACCATCCTGAAAATACCTCAGCCTGGAAACATCTATTGTGTCCTGGTGTCTATAAAACATTTAAAAACATTTTTTCTGGTGTAAATCTTGGTAAATTAAATTCTTTTTGGAATTTGTTCATTTCATCTAAGTTTTCAAAAGAAGTATAACCTGCTTAAAATTGTAACTCTTCAGCACTCTGTATCTCTCTTTTCTGAAGTATTTCTTATATTATTTACCATCTTCTAGTGAACTATGATTTTTAAACTTATTTATTTAATCATTACCTACGCTCCTCCAATCATAATATTAGTTCCATGAGAACACGGAGTGTTGCTTTTTTCACTACTCCATTCCTGATGCTAATAACAGTGTCTGGGACACATTGTATGCTAAGTAAATACTTGCTTAAATGAATAATGTTTAATTACCAGTTTGGACTTTGTAGATCTTGCTTTCTATTTATTTTCTGTTTAATTTCTCTTCATATCAGTTATTTTCTCCCTTTTTCTTTCTTTTTCTCTTCTCCTGCTTTCTTAAACTGGATGCTTAACATAAAACCTTTATTTTTTAATATAAACATTTTTATCTTAAAATACTGTGCATTTTTTTCCACTAAAACAAAAATATACCCATTTAAAAAAATTACTCTGAATTCCAATATCCAAAATAAAGCATCCTTGTTACTTTGGTGTGTTTCTCTTTTGTACATGTATTTTTTTCTTTGCGTAATTGAAAATAGTCCTGTATGCAATCTAGTGATTGGCTGATTTTAAGTAAAAATGTGATTTCAATACAAATTTATGCATTAATGATTTGGGACTAGTGTAGACCCTCTACACTCTATGTGTAGACTAGAGGCCTACATACTTATATAGTCACTTAAAGGTAATCCTAAATGATGTAACTAAATATGTAAATGTTCAAGTTATTTTGAAAACAGTACCATGGCTTTTGGACCTTCTTTCACCTAAACAAATTCGAAGAACTTGACTAGTTATAAATATAATCCTAGAATATTTTCTGTCTTGATATGGTCAACAGGAGAAATGCTGTGGACTTTTGGAAGTGAGGCAAGAGGACGGTAAAAAACAAAAAAATTATATTTCATTTAAAATTTAGGGTTGAGTACCTACCTAGAGCTGGAGCTGCTGATTCTATTGTTTATAGCAGTATGATGATATCCCTCTCTGCTTAGGTCTCAGAAATTTTCTGGGCAAAGCATTGTTCCAGTCATCTTGGAATCTTCCTCTGCAGGATGTGCATGGCTGCACTCCTCTGAACATTCTCTATTTAACAGACACTTATTATATAAGCAAGGTCCTACACACCTTGAAAATATTAACTCATTTACTTCTCATAACTGATCAATGAGTTAGATCCTGTCATTATCCGCATTTTACAAATGAACAAACAAAGACACCAAGAATTTAAATAACTTGCCTAACCCAAGTGACACAGCTAGGAGGCAGAGCCAGGGTTCAAACCCAGACATCTTTGTTTTGGAACCCATCCTCTGGAAATCCAGGCTGTCTCTCCTTGTAGAGTTTACCTCGACCAGAAGTGTTGCCAGATTCTACAGTGTGGGTAAGGAAGCCTGAGGATGGGGCTGTGGGGTGCTACTTGTGTTCTTGATTGTTTGGAGAATAATGTATCTTTCCTTCTACCGACACATCCTGCCTGGCTCCTATATTTTCTTCTCTGGGATAATGATTATTCCAGCTGTTGTCTCAATATGCTAATTAATGCTGTGCATTTCTCCTTTCTTAAGCAGCAGAGAAGAAAAGGTTGGAAAGCCCTCACAAAAATGCAGGATTCCACTCTCATTCTCAGCCTCAGATCCAAGCAAGTCCACAGATAGACAGAATTCCTGAACATGACATGAACAAAGGTAGATGTGTGTTGCTGAATTTCCATGATGCTCTAAATGTTAGAGTATTGAGAATTTTGTCCTGATCTTTTAAGAAACCTGTAGAGAATTTCAGAACTATTATTACAGCTGCATTTTAATATGTCTTATTCAAGAAAAAATACTCTTCAATAATATTTATTCAAATTACCCAGCAAAGAAGTAGTTATCTGGATCATCTCAATGGAGATTTTGAAGGTAGCATGGAAGAAGGAATGGCTTATTACTTGCAGAAAGTTTGAGGTTTTGCAGAATTCAATAGATCCAACAGATAAGTATCCTAACCTAAGCCTGAGTATACTTCTCTTAGAAAACACCTGTTTTCCTCTGAAATGGTGGCTTCGCTTCAAATTTTTATGACTAGAAGTTGGAGGTAACATGGCACAATGCATTTGGGAGTCTGATGGAACTGAGTTTTAATATTTTCCAGGAATAATCAGCTATATAACAGTAGGCCAATTACTTAATTACTAATATCTATACCTCAGGTTCCACATCTGTAAAATGAGAATGACAAAAATCTTAGAGTTATTGTTTGGACTAAATGAGATTATATAAATTAAGCCATTACCACATGATAGGCATTCAATTTTTGGTAGTTCCTATTAATTGATATGTATATAAATATTACATATTATATAATTCATATATATAAAGTGTATGTATATAAAGTATATATTTATGTATATAAAATTAATGTGTGTGTATATATATATATATATATATGATGTTCTAAACAATACTTTTTTTTTGCCCAACCTATGCATTTTTTCTTCTTGAGGTTTATCAAAGAAGATCTTTTCACCAGGACAATTTTCATGTAGTCAGTTTTTCAGTGTGTTCCTGAGTGATTCATTCAACTAGTTAAAAATATTTATTGAGTGTCTTTGAGTTATGGTACTAAAGCCAGACCAGTCAGCGGGCTTTTGTGATAGTTTAGGCTACATGTGGCTGTGACTTGGACTAGCATGATGAAAGCAAGACAGAAGATCAGAGATGCCTTTAAATTTCTACCTGATTTTTTTCTTTAGAGGACTTTTCTAGGACTTGCAATGTGTTTTCCATTTCCTCCTTTCTCCATTTCATAAAGATCTCACTTTGCCATAGTCTGGAATTTCTCCCTTAGCATTTGGATTGGATTTTGGCTAGTTCCTAATTGACTATTTGTTTATTTTTCCAGAGTCATTCTCTGTTACTGCATCCCTGAGGAGTGGACTGGGAAGGGATCCTAGTAATCATCTAAGTTTTAAAATCAATAGCTTTTATTATCCATATTTCCCTTTTCTACCCTAAAAATAATAAGTTTAGGGGGAAAGTAGTTCCCAATAAGGGAAATGCCATACATATTGTAAGCATTTCAAGAAAAGAGGAGATTGGTGATTTTAAGAAGTAAATGGGGGGCTGGCCCCGTGCCCGAGTGGTTAAGTTCGCGCTCTCTGCTTCAGTGGCCCAGGGTTTCATCTGTTCGAATCCTGGGTGCAGACATGGCACCTCTTGTCAGGCCACATTGAAGCGGTGACCCACGTACCACAACTAGAAGAACCCACAACTAAAATATGCAGCTATGTACTGGGGGGACTTGGGGAGAAAAAGCAGAAAAAAATTGGCAACAGTTGTTAGCTCAGGTGCCAACCTTACAAAACAAGTAAATGATTATTTTAAAAAGAAAAGGGAAAATTATACCCCTTCCCCTGAACTTCGTTACACCACTAATTAATCTTTAAGGCAGTAGCACTAAGAATTTTAAAATAAGAGGCAAATACTTCTAATAGGTGTTAAGTTTTCTGTAAATGAAATACCCATGTTTGCTGAGTGAGTTATCATATCTACTTAATGACAATGCTAATTCATTCAGTAATTCCATTCTTAACCTCTTGTGCTTGTTTGAGACAAAGCTCTTATATAACAGCTCCTTGTTTGAAGACTTGCAACAATTCCTCTACAATTTACATGTTCTTTTGGACAGAGTTCCGAGCAGCATCTTCTGGATGTATTGCTGCAGTGATATTAGGAATTATCTGTTTCATTCTTTTGGGAATATCAGCATTTTTTGCAACTAAGTGTAAGTATTCTACAGAGATGCCATTCCTCATGTTGACTTTTATCTAAATTTTTTTTCTCAAAGGGAGGATGAAGGGTAAGTCTAATGAGATGATCACATTCTGACAGTAGAGATATTCTTATTTCTAGACCTTTCTGGACTTGAGAAAGATATTCATGCAGTCAAAACAGAAAGTCTACAGTAAACAGTTCTTAACAAGGAGAACTATGGCTTTATTCCGTTTCATAGCCTTTCCATTTCACTGTGAATCATACACATTTACTCTTTGAATCCAATAGCATTAATGTTTCTCTGTTTATTTTATGGATTCCTGAGACATTGGTTTGAAGACAAATCTAAAAGAATTCTTTATACCATTGTACTTTAATTTTGCACACTTCTCTATTCCTATAATTTGAATATTTTCCCCTTAATATTTAGATTGAATCCCAATTTATTATTAATGGTGAGTATAATGACTGGCAGGTTTTCAGGGTAACTGGATCAATCGTTTATTTTCTCTTTGAAGTAAGAGCCAATAATATTAATCATACCCAATAATATTTGGGTGACTATTTTTATCAATATATTTATAACTTCTTTACACTCTTGCTCCTACCAGCCCGTCAAACACCTGCTACTCTTGATAACAAATATTTGTAACCTGGTGTGTATTCTTTCCTACTTTTCCCTACATCCACCTGCAGAGGGAGCCAACTAATTCATTGTTGTATTATAATGGGGGGTTATATCATGTGCACTTTCTTGCATCTTGTCTTTTTCATTTGAAACTAAGTTTTGGGAATCAACCTATAATTCATATTTTTAATGACAACCTCATATTCCATGATGAGAATTTACTGTATTTTATTCAACCAGCTTCTCTGGGTGAGCATTCACTTTATTCCAAATTTTTGCTGTTAAAGATAATACTACAATATACATTTTTACAAACTGATGCTTTAGTTTTTGTGGGATAGATTCCCAGAGTTAGAATAAATTCTCAGAGTTAGGATTTCTGGGTTTGAGAGTATGTATGTTCTAAATAAAATATGGGTTTTTTTTTTTTTTTTTTTGAGGAAGATTAGCCCTGAGCTAACATCTGCCAACCCTCCTCTTTTTTCTGAGGAAGACTGGCCCTGAGCTAACATCTGTGTCCATCGTCCTCTACTTTTTAAGTGGGACTCCTACCACAGCATGGCGTGCCACTTGGTGCCATGTCCGCACCTGGGTCCAAACCGGTGAACCCCGGGCCGCCGAAGCGGAGCATGCCCATTTAACTGCAGCGCCACCGGGCCGGCCCCTAAATAAAATATGTTTTGCAAGATTACTTTCTAAACGAGGTACCAATTTGCATTTCCACTGTCAAAGCATAAGAACCCTGTTTCCCACACCGTTCTAGCAATAAATATTTTTATTCTTATAATAGTTTACCAGAATGAAGGGCAAGATTAACAGACTGAACTCAAACTAATTGAAACAAAATGAAGGACATTTAACTGGCGACTGCAAGGGCAGTTTTGGGTTGTAGTACAGTTGCATTTGTGAACTCAAACAATGTGGTCAGGGCTCTCTCCTCTGAGGGTGCTTGGACTTGCTCAGCTACCTTTGACTTTATTTTCAGACAGGACTTCTCCACTGGCAGCCCGGGGCTCATATAATGTCAGCTGAACCACCATAATTATAATAGTTTTCTGTCACAGCAGTGAAAAAGTCCTGTGCATGGCTTTTCTGATTAGCTTCTTTTAAGTTGTGTATTCAAAGCCTTCTAAACACCATGAAGAGCATTTTCCACTGGAGAAAGGAATTCTATTAGCAAAAGAAGAGGAAAAGGGGAATGAGCACCTACTCAGAGGAAATTATTTAAAAATATTCACGTATAGCTTCTTGTACTTATTTTTAAGAGCCCCTGCCTCTTTCCAGTGTCATTATATGCAAAGAAACACACATGCACCCAAACCTACTCAAGAATAATATATTTAATGGACACTATCTCCTCTCCTTTTTTCCCTATCTCATTTTCCTAGTTTCAAGATAATTGAGTCACTTCCCTTAATATTCATTTGTAACTCAGCTATTAATGTCAAATATTTGATTTAATCTTTACTTAATCCTAGAAAGCTCTGTTCCACTCTAAGATTTCAAATATATAATTCCTATGATTGCTGTTTAGCTAAGGAAATACATCTTAATTACAATGATTTATAAGGATGATTTTCCCAGAATCTCTTAAATTCCTGTCCCATGGAATCCTCTGGATCTGAATAATTAAATCAATTATAACAGTTTGAGAAGATACATAGAATAATTTAACATAAGTTTATATTCTTTGGAGAACTGAAATAATAAAAATATCTAAATTTTATTGTAATTTCTCCAAGAATCCCAGGTTCATCAGAACTCCTCTACATATGGAGGTGTATTAAAAATAACAGAAAGTAGTAGTTATGCACACAAAGATTAGTCAGAATCACAAACATATGATTTGATTCTTTTAGTATTTTTATTATTAATAAATATTTACAAAGTCATCACACTAATCCTGTGCCATAATTAGAAATTAGACTATGTATTAGATGATGAACAAGTACATCATAGTACATTTTTCCCCAGCATTATTGAAATATAATTGACATATATCATTGTGTAAATTTAAGGTATACAACATACGTATTTGATATATGTATATATGGCAAAATGATTATCACAATAACATTAGTTAATACATCCATCACCTCACATAGTTTGGTATGATTTCATCACATGCATGAGGTGTGAAGTCATATCTCATTAGGGTTTGGATTTGCATTTCCCTGATAATTACTAATGTCGAATATCTTTTCATGTGCCTGTTGGCTATCTATTTATCTTCCTTGGAAAAATGTCTGTTGATATCCTTTGCCCATTTTTTGATCGGGTTGTTCATTTTTTTGTTGTTGAGCGGTATGAGTTCTTCATATATTTTGGTTATCAACCCTTTATCAGATATATGATTTGCAAATATCTTCTCCCAATTTATGGATTGTCGTTTCATTTTACTGATGGTTTCCTTTGCTGTATAGGAGCTTTTCACTGTGGTGTAGTCTCATTTGTTTATGTTTTCTTTTGTCTCCCTTGCCCAAGGAGTAACGATATTCAAAAAGATACTGCTAAAGACCCATGTCAAAGAGCATACTGCCTATGTTTTCTTCTAGGAGTTTTATGGTTTCAGGTCTTACATTCAAGTCTTTAATCCATTTTGAGTTAATTTTTGTGTATGGTGTAAGATAATGGTCTACTTTCATTCTTTCGCATGTGGCTGTCCAGTTTTCCCAACACCATTTATTGAAGAGACTTTCCTTTCTCCATTGTGTGTTCTTGGCTCCTTTGTCGAAGATTAGCTGTCCATAGATATGGGGTTTTATTTCTGGGCTCTCAATTCTTTTCCATTGATCTGTGTGTCTCTTTTACTGCCAGTACCATGCAGTTTTGATTACTATAGCTTTGTAGTATATTTTGAATTCAGGGAGTGTGATACCTCCAGCTATGTTCTTTTTTTCAAGATTGCTTGGCTATTTGGAGTCTTTGTTGTTCCATGTAAATTTTAGGATTCTTTGTTCTATTTCCCTGAAAACTGTCATTCAGATTCTGATTGAGATTGTACTGAATCTGTAGATTGCTCTAGCTAATATGGACGTTTTAACTGTGTTAATCCTTCCAATCCATGAGCACAGAATATCTTTCCATTTCTTTCTTTTTAAACTTTTTTTAATCTTGTTTTTTCTTCTTCTCCTCAAACCCCTCAGTACATAGTTGTATATTCTAGTTGTAGGTCCTGCTACTTCTGCTTTGCGGGATACCATCTCAGAATGGCTTGATGAGCAGTGCTAGGTAGGTGAAACCTTGGGCCACTGAAGCAGAGCACACGAACTTAACCACTTGGCCACAGGGCCGACACCTCTTTCCATTTCTTTATGTTTTCTTCAATTTCTTTCAATAATACATTATAGTTTTCAGTGTATACATGTTTCAAATCCTTGGTTAAATGTACTCCAAGGTATTGTATTCTTTTTGTTACAATTGTAAATGGGTTTCGTATTCTTGATTCTCTTTCTGCTAGTTTGTTGTTAGTGTATAGAAATCCAACGATTTTTGCATGTTGATTTTGTACCCTGAAGCTTTACTGTGTTCATTAATTATTTCTAATAGATTTTGGTGGATTCTTTAGGATTTTCTTTATAGAATCATGTCATCTGCAACTAGTGACCGTTTTACTTCTTCCTTTCCAGTTTGGATCCCTTTTATTTCTTTGTCTTGTCTAATTTCTCTGGCTCTGACTTCCAATACTATGTTAATAAGGGTGATAAGAGTGAGCATCCTTGTCTTGTTCCTGTTCTCAGAGAAATGGCTCTCATTTTTTTACTATTGAGTACCATGTTGGAGGTGGGTTTGCCATATATGGCCTTTATTGTGTTAAGGTGCTTTCCTTCTATGCCTATTTAATTGAGAGTTTTTGTGATAAATGGATGTTGGATCTTATCAAATGCTTTCTCTGTGTCTAATAAGGTGATGATGTGATTTTTATTCTTCACGTGTTAATGTGATGTATCACATTGATTGATTTTGTGTGTTGAACCATCCCTGCATACCTGGTAAATTCCACCTGACCATGGTGTGCGATCCTTTCACTGTGTTACTGTGTTCAGTTTGCCAATATTTTGTTGAGGATTTTTGTATCCATGTTCATAAGCAATATTGGCCTGCAATTTTCTTTTTTATGTTGTCCCTGGCTGGTTTGGGTATCAAGCTAATGTTGACCTTGTAAAATGAGTTAGAAAGCATTCCCTCCTCTTCAATTTTTTGCAAGATTTTGTAAGGATAGGTATCAAATGTTTTTGAATGTTTGGTAGAATTCACCAGAGAAGCCGTCTGGTCCTGAACTTCTATTTTTGGGGAGGGTTTTGATTACTGTTTCAATCTTTTTACTTGTGATTGGTCTATTCAGGTTCTCTATTTCTTATTGATTCAGTTTTGGGAGCTTG